CCAGGAAGAGAAAAAAGTCCTCTAGCTGGGAAAGAGATGAAGGGAGTAAAACATCCTTAGCCACCTTGGGCTCTTGTCCAGAGCACAGACTGGCTGGATCCTGGGATTCCAAGAGGCAGTTTATGCTGGGAAAAGACTGCCTGGTGAGCCTTCTCCCTTAGTGACCGTGTGACTGCGCTGCAGGGGCCACAGCAGATAGATGCTCCAAGATGCTTCCTATGCTTAGCATCTTTTGCTTCTAACAATCTCAGCCCTCGAAGGACAGCTACAGCATCTCCCTACACCACCAGTCTTCACCTATCCGAGACCCCATAGCAACAGCTATCAAAACTCAAAGGCCCCTAAAATAGGAAGAAGCCTCACTATTCCAAGGTCTCACTGCAGAAGTTTTTCTGAGGTCTAACGTCAGTCTCTTATCAAAAGGAAAAGTCCCCCTCCCCGCTTTACGGCCCTCCTATTCCCTGGCACCATCTGTATCCTTGGATGCCCTGAATGAAAGTAGACAGCCTGACCTTGCCCGGCCCCGAGACTCCCATCTGGAGCAAGCTGCCCTCCCTGAAGGCGAGGTATAAACATCAGGCCTGTTAGAGCACGAGGACCAGGTAGCCAGGCCGTGTCACGAGCCCTGCAGGCTGAGCCCAAGTATGCCCAGAATGGAGAGACTATCTCTCTGGCCCCGAAGTGGTGTCTGCAGGCGGCCTCTGTCCCTAGTCCTCAAGGCACTTACTGGCCACTAAGCTGTGGGGTAAAGCACTTGTTTGTGGCTGTCCCCCTTGCCGCCTCTCGGGCTTGGAGCAAGAGGAGAGATTCAGAATTGAGTTATGGCCACAGCAGGGGTGAGCTCCCCTCAAGAGCTGCTTCAGCCCTTCCAAACAGAAGATGAAAATCAGAGGCCCCTTGGGCAGGAAGGGACTCTGAGAAGCCGTCTGATCTCTTCTGCCTCCATGCAAGCTCCTGTACAAGCCACCCCAACAAGAGGCTATTCCTTTTTACAAGCTTGCATGTCTTCAGGTCACCAACTGTCTTATTAAACCTGAGCTCTACCTGAAGTCTCAGGCTGCCAGAACACCGTTTTAGTTCAGTTCTTCATCCCCTGAACAAGTCCTACCTGCATAGTGGTTAGGTTTTCCTGGGGCTGAGCTTTTCTAGTTACAAAACCCTCCTTGGCTTCCCAGCAGGCCTGCCTTCCTCTGCTTTGCTAATGGGCCTCATTTGAATTAAGACACTGAGTTGTGTCTTTTGCCTCAAGCAAACTTAAGGTAGTTACTGTGCCAAACCAGCCCATCCTTCTTGGCCCAGCACCTAGGCACCTATCTCATTCCAACCCCCCACCCCCACATCCCTCCCTACTGCAGCCCAAGGCAGTGAAGACAGAAAGCTAAACCTTGGAAGAAAATTTCTTACTTTGAGCACCCCCTTTCTGGTGGAGCTGGCATGGCCAAACCACAGCCACGGGGGCCAGCATGGATGCTAGGCCAAGTTTGGGGTTCCTGTAATGGTAGAAGGGTCACATAGCTGAGCCCCCAGCGCCTTGCATGGGGGAATGGTAAGGAGCAGGTGAGGAGGGTGTAACTGATGGCTCCAGGGAGGCAGTCCTGGGCCGGGGCAGGGTGGTGGGTGCTGTAGTGGCAGGGAGAAGAGGTGTGAGCTTACATTTTTAAAAAAATTGTAGTGGATAAAAACATCAACATAAACCTGCCCAGGAAAATAGAGCAGGACGTAAAAGTTTATAAAACCATAGCAAAATAGAGATCTAACTGTAAACTACAGAAACCAGGCTCAGGGGGCCTGTCCCCTACAAGATGCCTGTCCCGCTGAATCAAGGGCCACTTGTCAGAGCATAGGCATTGGGGGTTCCTGGTTGTGCCGCCACTGCTACCTGGATTTGGGGAATCCCTGTCCTTGCTTTGGCTGCTTCTTGGAGCAAGGGTAAGGGGAACGGGGGCTTCGAGCCAGCACTGCATATTGAGGTCCCAGCAGAAGCTAGGCTCGAAGGCAAAGAGGGACTGATGTCTCCTAGAATCTGCCCATGCCTCAGACTGGGACCCAGCCAGGCTGCTTACCTCATGATCACCCACCGAAACCTCTTGAAGTAGAATTCTCATAGCCCACTGCCCTTCCTAACCACCACCTTAGCCGGGCAGTAGCCATTCAGCACTGCACCCCCCGTCCTCTGGATAGACAAGGAGCCTGGAGGCTCGAGTTGTCCCAGCCCTGTCACTGTCACACTTTGTGACCTTGGCAAGTCCCTAGCCATTTCGACCTCCATTTCCTCATCTGTAAAGTGAGGGGCTTGGACAAGTTGAGCTTGAAAGCCTTTTGCAGCTCCGATGTTCTGTGACTGGTAATATACCCAGAGCACAAGATAGGGTGTCCCGTTTATTAACCCCTTTTCTTCTGGAGAAATGCAAAAGGGTGGTCCGAGGCAGCCCCGGGTGCAGGTCTTGTCAGGTGGTCCTGGGTGTTCCTGGGAACAGGCAGCGCCACACTCATCCCGTCTTCTCAGAAGACTCCCGACTCCAAGACGGAATTAATGCCGCATTCCTTTCCCAGGCTCGAATGAGTCAGTGCTGGGAGAGGAGTCCTGGGCCTGCAGGCCAAGCTGGAGGAAGGGGGTGGGCGCATGACCCCTGACTCCTGTCTCTTGCCCAAACCCCAGAGGATTGTGGAGGATGGGTCTTGGTGGGGTGGGGGACCTCCCCAAGACAAGCCCTTTAGTCGCCCAGCCGCCCGTAGTAGGTCTGTCACTCTGGGGTGACAGGGTTGGGTTGGCAGTGTTGGCTAAGAGGGCAACGTCAGGCCAAGTCTGGTGCCCCTCCTCACCAGGTGTCCCAGCCTCTCAACCCTTGTTAGTCCTGACCCCTGGCAGTCTGGAGTACCCCCCTCCCCCCAAAGCTGCAGGGGCTCAGGCTTCAGGGCACTGGTTCTCAGCCACCTGGGCAAGTGGCATGTGCCTCCAAGGACACGTCTCAGGGTCCAGCCGTGGGTTTGGCCTTCTCCTTAGGCTGAGGGGTGTTGGTGTTTCTGCTTCATGCCACGTCAGCCCAGTCACAGCCAGCGTTCCTGCCAGGCCTAGGATTCTGCTCCCAGGGGCAGAGTCTCTATGTGGTCCCAGGGTGCCATCTCCACAGATGTGCAGATACATGTTTCAAACCCCCTTCTTCCCACAGGCCTGTTCCTTCCATCCAGGCACCCTAGAGGGCCAGGGCATAGGGTTCAATATCATCATGGAAGTTACTGCTTTCTGTCTCTTGATTTAAATTAAAAAAAAAATCCTCGCATGGGTTCTATCCTGTGGTAGAATATGAAATATCCTACCTCCTACAAAAAGGGCACTGTCTAAAGTAGGTGTTCAAAACCAGCCATTCTCAGGCACAGTGCTGGGCCACCTTGGCATCGGGAAGGGACCAGGGCTGTGTCCATCGGATGCAGCTGTCCAGCTGTGGCGGAGAGGGAGGGCCGCCGAGATCAGAGCTCCAGGTAGCCTATGAGGAACAGCATCGCCACAGCGCAGGAGAGGATGGCGGCCGAATGTGGGGCTTGGCAGACTGCCGAGTTCTCCACCATCATGCTTGTGCCTGAAAGTGGCAGGCGGAAATGTGGGCCTGGGTCAGCTGGGCCCTGCCCCACCTCACCCCACCCGCCCTTGGGACCAGTTCCAGACCTTCCTAGGGAGACTCAGAGGGCCGGCTTCAGGACTGGGACGTGTTCTTAGCGCCACTCCTACAGCATTTTGTAGGACCTCAGCTTTGCTGGTTCTAGGCCTCCCCCTGTACCTCTGAAAGGAGCACACTCATCTCCCCAGCCCTCGTGGTGTGGGGGAGGGGGGGCAAGGGCAGTTCTAGGACGACTTTGCACTTGGTTCCTGCCTACCTTCCCCTTCCCCCTTGGGCTCTGGCTGCGTGGGGGTTGGCTTGGGTGGGAAAGATTCCCTCATCAGACACCTGCGTGGACCCTGATACTCCTGGCGGAATGGGTGGGGAGAGGCAGCACCTCCGTTCCTCACGATGTGGACTTCTGCCGGGGTCCCATCCCCTCCTGGCCCTGTGGTCCGAATCTGCACCCGGGCATGGCCGATGTCTTCAGGAACTGCAATTTCTATCCCGTTCTTGCTGGTGAGGTGGAGCGTGGGAGTCAGGTGTAAGTCATTCTGGTACAGCATCTGTGGAAGGACGTTAGCCAGATGGAAGCACTTACACCAGGGCTGTGTCTTCCTTCTTCCCCAGCTGGAGGCGCTGGGAGGAACCCGTGTGGTTCTGGGCCCTGGAGGTCCTCCTCTTCACCCCTCCTGTTTCCCGCTGACCAGGACCGGGCTCTTGCACAAGTTCCTCATTGGTGGAGGAAAGCTTGCAAGCACTTGAACTATTTTTGCAGACCCCTTAGGCTAGAAGGACCCCAGGCTTCACCCAGTCCTCACTGCCCCCATGAACCCTGCCTTTCCACAGCCATACTATCTGCCTCCTTTCTTATAGTCTCTACTATTGGGTTGTCGGAAAAGCCGTGACGTATTTTTTCTCTGTTTTTCGTTGCAAAAATGCGTCACGCCTTTTCCGACAACCCAATACGAGTTACCTGGAGAACCATTCATATATTTCATGCCTCTCACAATCACAAATGCTTTGCTTACGTCTAACTCAGATCCCTTCTGCTCTAAACTGCAGCCCCCTTGTGTTCACTGGATGTGGCGATGAGCTGTTCATCACCATGCAGTGCCTGCCCCATCCCTTCCTTACCTTGTAGCCGGTGACTGCAGACTCATTTCGGAGTGGGACCACAGGGTCCCACTTAATACTAAGGCTGGAGCTCGAGAAAGTCCAGGAGATGTTGCCAGGAGGTCGCCGTGGAGCTGCCAGAGGAGGGAGGAAGTTGGGGCGACTTCCAAATGTTTCCTCACCACCCACCCTCTTGCCTTTAGCCAGCCTTTTTCTAGATATCCGCCCACAGCAGTTACACCTAGAACATTCACAGCTACCTAAGAAGCGAACCCCATGAAAATCCAAAGGCTGGAGAAGAGAGAGGTGCTTCAGAAGCCATGAACTCCACTCCTGGTTTTCATTAGCCTTGTTTCTGTCCAGCCCGGGGCTTGTGGGCTAGAGCATTTGTCTTATGTTGGGGAAAGAGTGATCCTAGCAGGATGTCCCCGCCCCAGGCTGACAGACTCACGGGGCTTCATGGTGGTGGCGTTGGTGGAAGGGCTGGCAGGCCCAGTGCCCGCCCGGTTGTAGGCTCGTACAGTCACATGGTACTTGGTGTTGGGGTGCAGGTCAGTGACTCGGGCACTGGTGTCCAGCCCTGCTGTCCTCACTCGGTCAGCGGCGGCTTCGTTGTCCCCAGCTTTCCAGTAGCGGATCTGAAGGGGGCAGGGATACCTTAGGGTCAGCAGTCAAGTTCAGGACCTCCGAGCTCCCCTGGCCCTGGCCCTGGCCCTGGCCGTCTATTCTGTTCCTCTCCTGCTCACTCTGGTCCTTGTAACTCAGTCTTGGGTCTCAGAAACTGGACGCTACATCATGAGCTCCAAGAGAGCAGGGACGAGTTGGTGTGAGTCCCTGCTGCCTTCTCAGTGCCCAGCAGGGAGCCGGTGAGCGTTGGGTGAGAGTGGGAGGCAGGCACCTAACCCAACGGAGCGATGGCCGGTTGGAACCCAGTCCTGTTTAGTTAACTCATGGAATCCCACGGGGGACTCTGCTAAAGGTCATGGCATGCATATCTGTCCTTGCAAAGTTGTCCCCCAACCCCTAGCAAACATGATGGCTGCCAAATAGTTGCAAACCCATTTTAGCACCCATCATAATATTAAGTCCTGTGAACTATTCTTCCAGATCAAGGGCAGAGTTGGGAGTTATCTCCTCGGTGAGGCTCGCCTAACCTATTGTGCTAAAAGCCGGAGCTGACTCGACTGGAATGGCATTAACGATATCACTAGTAACGGGGCCTGATGACTCTCACTTGGGCAATGACATTCCTTGCTTTTTCTTCTTCCCTTCCCCTGGCTTCTTAATTTCCACCTACTACTATACAGGGCACCCATTGTGGGATCATCAGTGGGCTCAGAGTTCCCCAGGGACTGGCGATCAATAGGTACATACAGGGGGCCATGCTGTTCTCTGCAGCCCCGCGGATGCCAGGCTAGCTGGGCTCTGGCAGAAAAGGACGAGCTGTGCCCCTTCCAGAACCCACTCTCCCCTGAGCTCTCACAGGCAGCATTTACTACAATGTCTACAGGCCTGCCATCCCTTGTCGTCCCTCCTGGGTCTTACCTAAGGTTATGTTCACAGTGCTGCACAAACTGGGTGCTGTTTGCCAATTTAGTGAATGAATGGTCCCAGGAAGAAGGACTACTGAGCTGTGAGGTGCCCCCACCTAGCCTTGAAGCCCCAGCACCCCACATTCTGCCATGCCCCAGGGTCAGTGCTCACCTCATACCCCAGGAGGATCCCATTCATGTCCTGTTGCACGGGTTCCCAGGTCACGTTTATCTCTGAGGATGAGATCCCCTTGGCCCAGACCTTGGTAGGGGCCACTCTGGGCTCTGGGGACCAATACAGAATGCGTGTGGATTCTTGGGGGCTCCCTGTGTCCTACAGAGTGGCCGCCAATCGGGATGGCCCTTGCTTAGGACTTTAGAGAGCCTAGGGTCCAGGATGAAAGCCATGTGGGGGTTCCCAGAGAGTCTCCCTCCTCCTTCCCTAGGCCTTAGGGGGAGACCAGGTAGCAAGAGCTAGAAATGAGGCCAGTGGCTTAGAACCCAGGTGTCCTGAGCACCCCAGCGTGGAAGTGAGCGGGCATGGGAGCAGCACTCCTCCACCCTACCAGCCATGGACAAGTAGCTGGAGCGGGGTGCAGGGTGGGCCCAGCGTCCGCCTACCCTCCTCCGCGGAGTACACGAGCGCAGTGAGACTCTCGGGCCCATTCCCACGGCGGTTGTAGCTGCGAATCTTGACCTCAAAGGGCGTGTAGGGCCGGATGCTCTCGTTGCTGTAGACGAAGTACTGCGCGTCGGCGCCAAGCACCCGCGCCGTCTGCCAGCTCGCGCCGCCCTGCCTGCGGAAGGACAGCAGGTAGCCGAAGCCGTCTCCGTTCTGGTACTCCCGTGACATGGGCTGAGGGGCAAGAACGTGGCATGGGCGAGGGGCCGAGGGTGCGTTTCCTGCCCATCCTCCGGCCCCACCCGACCTTCACCAGGAGGGTCAGCCCCAGGACTCCTGCGCCTGTGGCGGTTTTTATCCTGCACGGTGCTCCTGTGAGAGGCAGCGGGGGCAAAGGGAGGGAGAGGACTTTGCTCGAATGGGACTGTGCAGTGACTCTGTCTGGATCCTCTCTGCACGCTGCTCCAGCCCAGAGATGAGTCAGGACTGGGGTGGGGGAGGCAGGACTTGTCCCTCACCCCCCCCCCCCAAGAAGCCCTGCCTGTCTCTGCAGCTTACCGTCCAGTTAACGATGAGCTCTCCTGGGGCTCCACCACCTCCGCTGAGTCCTGAGGGTGCCACTGAGGGCGCTGTCAGGGCCAAGGCACAGACGTGGCTTGTTAACAGGCAGTAAGGGAACAAAAGCCATGAACGTGTGCCTGTAAAGCATCCTAGGGCAGGGATGGTTTTGTCTTCTAACTGTGCCTCTGGATGTGGGCTCTGGAGGCAGGCAAAACCTACCATCAAATCCCACCTCTGCCACTTACTAGCTGTGTTTCTCTGAGCAAGTTACTGAACCTCTCTGAGCCTGATTCTTCCTCCATGAGATGAGGAGAATGTTTCTCTCAAAGGGCTGTAAATAGAGTAAAATTAAACAAGATAGTAGCGTGTGTGCGTGTGTTCCCTAAATGATCATTTTCCTCTTCCCTCCTGTTGTCTTAAGCTAAATAACAGAGACCAACTCCAGTTTGCTTTAAATTAAAAGGAATAAATAACCCAGAACTGCAGTTAATGGGAAAACATTTCTTTTGGGTTGCAGGATGTTTTATTTATTTATTTCTTTTTGTGGCAGAATTAATTTCCTAATTGTCTCTAATGTTCAAAAAGGCTGATATTAAAACAAGAATGTATTTCATAGGTCACGAAGCTTGGCAGGGGGTAACTTAGCTGAGGGCCAAAGTATTTCTGCAGATGATCCAGCAATTGGAGACATATCACTTGGTTTGATGACTACAGCTTAGGGCTTTGTAATTTGCAAGGAGCACCTAAACACCTTGCCCATTTGATTATTTCACCCTTTTCAGGGTGGAAAGAACAAGGCCTGGAGCAGGTAAGTGACTTGCCTAAGGTCACAGAGGCAATAAATGGCACAGCTAGAATCTGAACTCAGTTCTGATTTCAAAGCCCACCATCCTTCCCCTGCGTCATAGCTGTCCTTGTGCTCATCAGCTCCAGGGATACTATTGTAGAACGAAGGAGACCACTCCCCACCCCACATTGGACTCTGCAAGAAGTCCGATCAAGGAAAGTGCTCCTTCTGGAATTCCTTCCTCAGGAGAGGTGCTAGTTAAAAATGTTGAATGATTCCAGAAAGAGCCCAAAAAGTCAGACTGGGGCATATAGGAAACTGTGTTGAAGGGACACAAGAAGGCAGACCCTCACTACCCCTCCAGTGGGGCAGGCCTGGGTGGGCAGGGTCCTGATGCCATGCTGCCTGTCCGTGATCCCAGGGCTCTGTCGAGGAGAGGCCGTTCCATGGTGTGACTACTGTCTGTCCTGTGAGCGGGACCCGGGCCAGAGCAAACTTCTTTGCAGCCCTCCCTGCCCCGCTTAGAGGCTGTCTGATCGTAATTGGTGTTCAGTCTGACATAAATCAGCACCCCTGCCTGCCTCCTGCTACTTTGCTGGCTCCTGGAACAGGCCGTTGTCCTGACCTGGTCAAGCATGTAATTTTCCACACCTGGCATCATTCACATACTAGCACCTATGATTATTACCCACTTTGACCCTAGATGATCTTTGTGTCAAAAGGCACAGAGAATATACACTTCATCTTGTAGCTGCTCATCTAAGATGCTCCTCTATCTAAGTTTCTTTTAATAAACTGTTAGCTGCCAGACTGGAGTGGCCAGCCTCTTTCTTGGGTCTTTCCCTGCTCTCCACTTAGAGGTAGATTTTCAGTCCCAGGACCTTTCCCTGGTCTGTGTGTACTAACAGGCTCTCATGCTGGCCCTTCACCCGTGACAGGCTCAGTGGGTAGGCAGAAACCTCTCAGCAGATGCTGACAGGGGCCTGGGGTCTGTCCCAGCTCTTTTCCCGTCCTTCCCCACTCAGATTCCCACACCCACGTGCCTTTCAG